AAGGTTCCTGACATCCATGTTTCCGCTCCAATCAACAGAACTGATTTGACATTAAACATTTTTAGTTTAGTATTAGTCTTAATTTCTTTTGACCTCCACAAATTCCTTAGTGCTATGAAAGCTCATCTTGCCTTTTGTATTCGTATTTAATATCTCTATCATTCCCCCATCTTTATGCACATTAATGCCCAAACAGGTGTAAGACTCCATGTCTCGGAGTAGGATACCATTAACTCTTTAAGCCCGAGCAACGGCATGAGGGCGGATTGAGGAGTTCCATTTTGCCCAAACAACGTTGTCATTGTGTGTCCCATTCATATTGCTTCGCACACGGCTCCGTACTTGTTTCTAATGTTCGGAACTACGATTAAAGTATTCACAGAAAGTCACTCTAACGATTTCTTTTAACAACATTCCATATCCCAAGCCACACGTGCACAGATTGATCAGATTCATAGCTACATTTTTTTCAACGGTCAATTTTCTAAGTTCATTGTCGAGTGCCATGAAAAGCAATGTGGTCGAAGCTCTGAAACTGTTTCAGTCAGATGTTTTTAATCCTGATAATGATAATGAAAATTTAGATTTCTCGGAAAGTGATTCGGTCGGTGAATTTTCACCAGCGGCAGCTGTGCGATCAGCTGTTGGGAATCTAGCGATTCTGATGAGTTTACGCAGACAAATGTCCCATTGCTATCGTATTTATGGTGTAAGAGAAGGAAAGTGCTCCAAACAAAGAGACACTACTATACTATGGCTAAGCTACATTTAAATCATTGCAGCTACAGTCTGTATATAACTGAACAAAGTAAACAGTAAATAGTGTGTGTGTAATGGCCAATGTCCTCAGAAAATTTTCTCAGCACTCTGTGAGAACTAAGAGCTCCTAAGTGCTAAACTAACCCAACAACTTATAACTTTGAAATTTGTTAGGAAATGGAAAAAACTTTGAAGTGTTGTTCTCAAATTTGGATATCCTCTACTCTTGTGGCTGCAAAACCATGGTAAGTGAAGAATTTGTAAAATGTTGCTGTTGTGAAATTAACACCTGCTGAATTCTTCTTTCCTACTATAACAAAATTAAACATAAACTTATCATCAGATTCAAAATGTACATTCATTTCTCTTTAAAAAAAAAAAAAATTGGGATTTGAAGAATATTACATTCTCTATTGCTTTTCTTGTACACCACCCCCTCTGATATTTTTGTAAAGGGAAATTTATGTGGGCCAAGTCTGTCAAAATTCATAGGACTGAGTTAAAAGAAACCACATGACTATTTGCCTGGCCTGATTTATTCTCGGTATCTTTGTCTTTCCCTTATGGATTTTCAGATCTAACTGTTGTGATCTTGCATCAAGTATATTTATCTTGCACCTGATTCTATAAATGGGACAGAAGAGAAACATCATCAGCAAAGTCCAAATCATCAAGCTTTTTTGTAGGGGTCCACTGAATTCCATTCTTTTTGTTAGCAGTTGCTGTCTTCATAATCTAATCTATTGCCAGTAAAATAGGAGAGGCGACAAAAGACATCCGTGTCGCACACCTGTTTTTATTTCAAATATATCTGTTATCTTTCTCTCACGAAGAACACATTTCATGTCTTTATATGTTGCCTTTACTAAGTTGATAATTTTCTGTGGGATTCCATAGCGCCCCATTAATTTCCAGAGAAACGCCCTATCAATGTTGTCAAAAGCTTTTTTAGTCTATGTATCTAATGTAAAGTGGTGAATTCAATTCAATGCTTTGCTCGATTATTATTCGTAATCTGGCTATCTGATCAGTACAAGATTGGTTAGGCCAAAAACCTGCCTGTTCTACTCTTAGTGTTTTATCAAGAGCACCTTTTAGTCTTTCCCCAAAAATTCCAACCTAATATTTTTCTAGGAATTGACAGCAACATAATTCTTCTATAGTTCTCACACTCCTGTAGATCACTGGGGGTGGGGGGTATTCACAAGATACCCTTCTCTCCAGTCTGCTGGTATTTCTTCGTCACCAGGGCACTCACGGGAACAAAGAAAAGTGACACTGCAGTCCACCAGGCATGTTGTAAAATTAGCCGCTCCTGATCTTCTGGAGAGTGAGCAACTTTATGATAAAGTGGATGTGGTGAAGGCTCTCTGGGATCAAATGGACAGTGTAACAGAACAGACAATCCATACACAATTCATGGGGGAGAGAGGTGTGAGTAGAGGTCCTTGAAGATATTCGATACTGAGGGGGAAAAAAGAGGCAAGACTTTTAATCAGGCTGCAACTGGTACTATTAGTATATCAATTCTTCACTGGCTATTAAAGATGGGGATGGAAGTTCATGTGGGAATGTCCATAAGTGCAATTATGTCAATTCTTGATTCATTCAACTTTGAATAGTTAGCATAATTAGGGCTGCATAGTTCTTAGTGTTTGCTTGCTAAGACCACCAGTGATACAGCCTGGAAATTCTATTTTCTAGGCTGGACCTGGTGTCAACTCTAAGCAATGAGGGGACTGAATAGTTTTGTGTGGATTTAGCTTTAACGCAGTCCAATAAATCTGATCAAAAGTTAGTTGCATACCCTTTAGTTTCAGAACTTACCAAAACTTTTGATTTTTCTAGGCAGTTTAATATTTAGATGTTTGCCCGTGCTTCCTGAATGGTCGACTCTTGATATCATTGTTAAAAACTAAGTATTTCAGGATCCTTGCCGGTGCTATGGAGTTCGTGCACTGCGCTGAGGTTCTTTAGACTCAGGCTCGAGTCAGAAGTAGAACCGAGCACTAATGAGTTACTACCCTTGTGCCATGATGTTAATCCATCGTCTCAACCTAAACCATTAATTTTTATGAACTGTTATGAAATTCATAGAAGCACCATAAGCTACACCATGCAGCAAGCACAAAAAGAGCCTTCTGAAAATCCGAAGAGATCAGTAAGGAATAGCGTCATAGCACTATGGACAGAAGCACAGGAACGGTGATCATCTCCTGTAATTGTATACTGGATTCTGATGTGTTTTCCCCCTATCAGGCAATGTCATCAGACAAAAGCCATTTTGAGGATGTACACTGGCATGTTCTTTCTTCACTGGGCTCACAGTCTTGCTACACCCATTACAGCAGTAAAGCTAGTTCAACAAGCACTTTTTGGTACAATAATGATTCACTTTATGCCGGAGTTATTTTGGATGTAGATAAACTAAGTGAGTCTAATGCATTTGATAAAGAGGACAGTTAGAAATTTACAGAGGTTTGTAGCTGTTGTTAGGCCACTGTAATGCTCTGATTACATATGTGGTTCGTGTGTTGTATATCATTTCAAAGACCTTAAGGGCCAATCCCTTTATAACTACTGGTCATGTTGAGATCACTGTACTGCCCGCTGCACTCTTTCTCGCCTTCTGTTTCACTTACCACTATTCTGTAAAGAAATGCACCCCTGTATTCCCAGAAGAAAATGAATCACACAAATTTTACAGCTGGCGGGACAGGCAATGACAGTGTAAAAGTATATTCATTCGCGGTTCGTGAACTACTGAACAAATATTACTGTAGGCTGGTGTGAGGTGAGTTAAAAGGCTACTGAATGATGCAAGCAATGAATGGTGTCACTATGGCAACCAGCCAATCAGAGGTTGATTCTGGAATAGCCCTTGCATATCTCTAGATATTCATTTATCTGTAAATACAACTTATCAAGGGAGACTGGGTTATTGTTTGCTTGGTTTTCTATATTTGACAATTTTTTATCGTCTTTTGGTTACTTCTTCAGTCTTCCAGACTTTATTAAATAATGTGTACAGCAATTTTGCTGACAAGTTTATTGAGCCTAATAACTTTTGATGAGATATCATCTGGTCTAGCACCCTTCCCGTTCCCTTGGACAGTGAGAGCTTTTCTAACTTACGCTTTAGGTGATATCTCAGAGATGATATTTAGCTCCACTTCTGCAAGCCAGGTATATGGAAGTGAATTAGGGCCAGCATTTTCAGATGTTTTTCAATGTTTTTAAACTTGTTTATCTGGTGGCCACTGAGAACTTTAAAATAAATTTTTTTTTTGATTGGTCCCCTTGGGTAATTATTGATTCCTTTTTCGTAATGTAAAGATCTCTGATCTGCCCCTCTATTAAACTTTACATCATGCACATCATCATCACTTTTTGCTGCAACTGACTTCAAATGGTTCCTAAAGGACAGACTTCTATGAAAAGTGACAATCAGATACATCAGTATGTTTTTTCTTTTAATTTTTCTGTCATCAACTGAGGGTTGGGACATAAGCTCTAATTACCCAATAGTCCAGACAGCACCATAAAACAGCCACCTTTTCTGATCTATGACAACTCTTATCTTTGCACACTAGTCTGTCACCTTTGTCTCACTTGCCCGTAGCTCTTGAGCTGTCTGTTGCCCACTGCTCATCTACCTATATGTAAGATCATCATTTGCAAATGTCAACATCCTTTCAACGCCAGGTGTTTCAAATTCTGCAATCTTGCTTGTATGACACTGAAGAGCATTGATGAAATCGCTAATCCATAGGTAGTCTTGGACGACACCGCATGGCTCTGACGTCCAGGTACCCAAATGGAGGGCAACTATACATGAATGCAGGAAAACTGCAGTACAGTTCTACAGCCTCAAGTGTTCATCAGTCATGACATTTATGTGTGCATACAAGCCAAAGCCCGTCAAGCCAGAGTGTATGTCTAGCTCTTTTCAATACATATTTTATACCCGCCTGAATATGATCACAATAATCTTTTATGGTCCTTATGGCCCATAACAACCTCAAAGCTGTTGACAGGGCATTTAGCCCCAGACAGTGGAGAGCAACAGGAATAGTTTCAAGCCACAGACAGTAGAGGGCATATTTGATGGGTGGGCTCAAGAAACTAACAAAATATGTGTAAAGTCTACCCAATGTAATGGGTACAATGACAGTAAACTACCGCTAATCAGCAGAGTAGTTATACTATAGATTTTTTATGATAACAATTACAATACTTACACTGCCAACTATAGGAATCTCAACAGTGCCCCATGTATCAGCACCCCAATGAACAAGACCACTGCAGAAGTCAGCCGTGACAATTCCAAGTACTGAACAAATAAAATATGAAAAGGTTATTTGAATCAAAAACTTTCATAGGAATAATAAATCTGCACATATACGAGGGGTTAAATTATCTAAGGTTAGAACAAGTCTAAAATATTTTCACCTACACAGTTTCATATGTTATGGAATCTCCTCTTGTCATCTGCAGTCTTATTTTAATAAAAGTGAATTTGGTCTCTTTGCTACCTAAAACATAGGTCCACACAAACTTTTACTTTTAAGATAATCAGGTTGCCATTTGCCTAGTATATCCTCATTATTTGTATCTTCTTCTTACAAATATTTCCAGCAGATTTGTGTGACCTTTTATTCAGTTTGATAAATGTATCTTGCATCTTATTTTAGAAGGGGGAAAAGAGGATAAGCAAAATATGGATTTCTGAAATGCTCTAACCTGACAGAATCAGTTATCACTGTCTTCGTGATCCATGTTGATAGTAAAGGGACTGCTTTTTATGTCTTTATCAAGCTACTGAAATTGATGCATGATGAGCTAGATGTCAAGACCCTCTGGAAAAGCGTGAACAATGCAGAATCACAAGCAGATCACCAGTGGGAAGAGAATGGTGCACAAGGAGCGACCAGAGGACCTGGCCAACACTCAAAGGTAAAGCAAGACTGACATACAATCAGACTGCTACTGGCACCATCAGAAATGGAACTCTGCTTTGGCTGCTGAAGACAAGGATGGAGCATTATAGAAATACCACAAGCACTGTGATATTCAACTCAACGTTTCTGGAAGTCTAGAGCAGTGGTGCAAAATTAAAAATCAAGTTAAAAATATATTTCTACACTAAGTTACAAAGATTACATCCAGCGTACAATAGAAAAAGAAACATCCATATCTGAGAAATTTGCAGATGAATTGAAACATAAAACTGAAATTTTACAAATTCTGTCATAGGAAGACGTTAACCAAATCTGGATGGAAATTAAGAAAATAATTCAAACCACTGCAGAAGAATGTCTTGGTGTGTCCACCATAAACAGAAAGAACAAATAGTTTGATACAAAATGTGAAGAAGCAGTCAGTAGGAAAAAGCATGCCAGGCAGATGTGGCTAAATGATACTAGTAACATACGAAATGAAGAAAAATTTAGAACAGAATGTAAAGAAGCTACAAAAGTAGTTAGGCACCAAAAGCAAGAATACATGAACAACATTGTCATGGATATGGAAGCTAACCATTAGAACAGAGAATCTAGAAAGGTGTTTTTTTAAAGAACTGAAGGCTGTAAAAACGAGGACATCAACAAAGCATTTATAGTTTAATAGATCACAATGGGAACATGATAAATAATAATGAGGAAATATGTTACAGATAGAAGGAATACTTTGCTGAATTGTTAAATTGTGAAACTCTACTTAATACTTATCCACAGGAAGAGATATTAACATGTGAAACAAAATCTGAAGAGCCTGATATTGAAGAACTGTATGTTATAACACAGCAAAAAACAAAAAAAGCAACTGGTGCTGATGGAATTGCAACTGAACTTATAAAAGAAGGTGGTCATGCATTACATGTAAAGATATATGAATTAATAAAACTAGTTTGGAAGATGGAGAAATTAACCTATGAATGGAAAGTATCTTTACTAATACCCTTTTTTAAAAAAGGAGACAAGTATAAGTGTGCCCAATTTATCACTTTCTAGCACCCCTGCATTTTCAATTCTTGTAGTTCTTTCTGACTGGTTGCTATCAAGAGGATGTCATCAGCATAACGTAGGTTGTTTATGTTATGCCCACCAACCGCAATTCCTGGCATTTCCATGACAGATCTGATTATATATGCACTGCATAATGAAAACAAATCAGGTGACAGTATGCATCCTTGTCTTACTCCCCTCTTTATGCTCTGAAATGTTCCCAACTGGTTATTAAATCTTATAGCAGCTGTTTGATGCCAATACATGTTCAAAATTATTTGTAAATATTTTCCATCAATGTTTAACTTCTCCAATAGATTGATCATTTCTTTACACAATCAAATGCTTTCGTATAGTCAATGAAATATAATATACCACTCGTCAAAAGTCAAGTCAATTTTGAAAAACCTTGGTTGAATACTTAAAACAACTTTGATATAGTTAAGGGCGATTTAGAAAAACCTTGGTTGAATCCATAAGACAACTCTGAGAAACAGCCTGCCATTCCTGAAGCAGATATGCAGTCAGCTGTGCAACATCTGTTGGCAGGGGATGATTTTTTAACAATCTTCAACCAGTAACATCCCAGAGGTGCCTAGTCAGAGAAAGGTCAGGTTGAACTACCTGGCCACGCCATCTTGATGATCCCATGTTGCTGAATAAATTCATTCGCCACATGAGCTTGATGGGGTTGAGAGTTATCATCTTGGAGAAAGGCATTAATACCTATGACCTCCAGAGCAGGCTGAACAACTGGTCTTCAGATTTTTTTCTGGTATCTTTAGCAGTTGCCTATAGATGGTTTAGAGTGGGGTCCTGCAGTTCCTGTAGAAGCCTCTCCACAACATGACAGAACCCCTACTATAACAATGCATCTCTCAGATTGTGTAATCAGTAAATTGCTCACATATTTGTCTCCAAACTTGATTCCTGCCATTAATGTATGACACAGTAAAGCGAGATTCATCAGTGAAGAGGACTTGACTCTACTGTTGCCCAGTCCATCAGATATGCTTATGATACCAAGCGATTTGGCTCTGCAATGAGCAGCAGTAAGAATAATTCTAGCTGCAGAATGTTGAGCAGCCAGTTCAAATTTATGTAAACTGCTGAGAATATCGCTTTGGATGACTTTAACTTTTACAGTTTGTCTCAGCTGACATTTCACAATGGAGCAAGTCACTGTTCAAGGGCACAGAGCTGACAATGAGAGGTACCAGTCATCCTGCCTACTAGTGCATCTAGGGTGACCTGACCAGTGCAATTCTAAATACTTCCTGTGGCTTGGAATCTCTCCAAATAGTACAGTGGGTCACTCCAAAACACTTTCGACCCACACCATAGCCTTCACTCTTTGTAAGGTACTAGACTTTTTCTCAATGGCAAGGTTTTTGCAAATTTTCAAATAAAACTTAGGTCTGCTGTTTAACAAATAAAAGTGTCATTGCACATGGAAGGTCAATCAGCATGATTGCTTTACCTGTTTGGTTGTACAGAAGTTCGAAAAAAAAAAAAAAAGATTCTAAACATGAATGTATGGTCAGCAAAACAAACTGCACCTGATCACCTTGGCTGTCGGTGAGTTGTTTTCATGTTTAACATGCACATAGGACCGTCATAGGAAGATACTGCATCCACGTTTTAGAAATCCTTTCTTTATTGAATCCTTGTGTGCGCTTACATTATTTTGTATTCAAAATAAGGATGTCTTCCTGACTTTTGATGAGTAGTATATTTTCACTGCTTGTATATCAATAATACACTTCTGTAAAGTCAACTTTTTTCTGTGGACCCAAATATGCCTGATTACATCTTTTTTCATTTATTTGACATACATTATCTATATGTGAAATATTATCTTTTATTTAAACTTATTTATGCTATAAAAATATAATAATAAATTTCAAAAACAAAAATGGTGTCTTATTACTGTGACATGCTCTTAATCCAAAATCTTTAAATAATATAAATCTAACTTACATGCACACAGAAGGATCATATGCCACTGACTAGGGTCAAAATATATGACCAGGTAGATGAAATTGATGAACAGAAGGATAAGGCTTACGAAAAGACATACAGTTTCTTGAAACCTTTTACCTGAAGAGAAAATAACATACATCTATATCAACAGACAAATCAAATTCATGTCTAGCACCATGTACCAAATATATTTAAAGAGGGCCTTATACTAAAATTTTCTACTTATTTTGTCTTCACTGGTACTCACTGGAATCTTGTAAGTAGAGATTTGTTTCCAGTGGCCATGGCTTCCAGGTCAATCTAACTTTAAATGAGTCACAGAAAATGTATATGATAGTAAAGATAGCTGGCATGACACTGACCAAACCACCTATTAAATGACTAAACATTTGGGTCTAGCACTGTATATCCGGTACACCTCTTGCTATAGACAGTTTTCCTTATCAATCTCACACGATAGGCATATATATCTATACTATAAATCACAAACACTTTCTGTATTTTGTGCATTCATTTTGATACAACTGTTTACTTCTCCCAAACACACGGGTGAAATTTCCCCCTGAAACCAAACATACACACATGTGTGCACGCACACATGCATGCATGTGTATATATAGATATATAAATACATAGGTATATATACATATATATATTTTTATATATACATATTTATATATATACACATACATATTTATACATATATGTATTGCTCACCTGCGAACACAAGGTCTGGGGGAATAGCTGACAAGGAAGTCAATCTGTGACAGGATCCCAGAGAGATAGGAATGAAAGTGGATCCAGAGTGAAACAAAGTGTACGCTGATCCTTAAGGAATGCAAGCTGTGAAGTGGTTGTAGCAAAGCCACGTTGAAGTATAGTTGAGGACAACTGAAGAGTCCTACTGACTGTTGATTGTGACAACCGTGTGTATGTCAGTGTCGACCATGGCATGGCTGTATACTCAACCAACAGGAGACTAAATATAGGGTTATATTTAGATTTCTATTGACCCCTGAAAATATTAACCGACAGTGTGCATACAAACAAGATGTGTAAATGGATGATCATGCAAAACTCAAGTCAAGAAGTGGATGAATGAGCAGAACTTTCCCCATGAGTTTTCAGGAGGTGAACACAAAGAAAAAAAATTGCCCTTATACTGATAGTGAGATGTGAGCCGCTAAAGTGTTATGTTTGTTCATAGTTCCCTACAGGGTTGGAGACCCCAGGATTAACACCTCAAGCATGAGACTGCTATGTGTTAAAAAAAATCCCAATGACATTATGCTTAAGATTAAATTATATTCTTTAGTAAACATGCGGCTTTTGTCACATTCATATACACAGGTGTTACTAAAGTGGATGTTTGTTAGATTTTCAGCAGTGCAGTTGTCAGCACATCTGCCTACCCCGTGGAAGGTCCAGCCCCTGCTCACATTTTTTAAATAAAATCACTTTCCACAATGGTCTAAGTATTGAAATACATTTTTTTTAGCAGGATAAATAGAATTATGACTAAAAAAACATGCACTGAAATGGGACACTGACTGGTTGAGAAAATGAGAAGCGAAAGATGGAAGGCTCATGTGGGCGCTCGTCCCTGGAGTTTCCACTAGGCCTACATGTAGGGCAGCGAGGTGAGGTAGAAGATGGGAGAATAAAACTTGGTTTCAAAATTACCGGCGAAGCAGGGCAATTAAATCTAGTATGCCATAAATTTGGCAGCCACTTAGATTTGAGTATATTATTGTAGTATGCATTTAACAAAAATGAGAACTGGCACTGATAATACACATACTGTGGGCATGAGAACTGGTACAGATCATTCAAATGTTGTTGGTTTTACTCCAGTCAGTTCATGAAGTAAAATAAATCTGTTCAACTCGATTGTTTGAAAATTTCATCTCTAGAAACTAATGTCTTCAACAACTATTAAACTAACACTGTCACTTCTTCACAAATATTACCGTACAAAGCATACTACCAGAGCAGATTTTGTTAGTCCTGAAAGTGATCAGAATCAGTGTTGCAAAGGTCAGTCTTCATTTCCTTAAGGCTGTTCTTGATGCTATCGTCTACATAGTTTTCCCCTTGTTCTGGGCCCATTGCATTCCGCCAGCATGGCTTTCTGTGGCAATTGGTAATTTGGCCTTCTTGTTAGAAGGCCAAACCATCTCCTGTTGCTCTTTAATAATTGTATGACTGGTTTCGGGCCATGCCTTCTAATTGCTTTATTTTGATGTTGTCTTTTCTAGTTACACCGGTAGCCCTTCTAATACATCGCATCTCTGTCAATTTGATTCTACATTCATTACTTTTTGTGGGGGTCAAAATCTCACACTTATAGTACAAAGTTGACCAAAATATAGTTCTGATAAAATCTGTCTTGTAGGATGTATTCAATTCTCATGTTAAGTTCCCTTTAAAAAGCTTTAAATGATAAAAAATCAACAATGAAATGAAAAATTTGAAACTTTTGCTGAAAGCTGTTATTAAAATGTAACATAAGAAAAATTTCTTGTCAATGTTATTTTCATTTATGTGAAATGTTTCAAACAATATTCAATTTTAAACAGTCCTAACTTGTGCTGCAGGGCAGGACCCAAAAACAAGTTTAATTCACCAATGATCATTTTAAGTGTTTGAACTGAGAAGTTGGAAAACAGGCAAAATGAAGCCATGCAAGTCTTTTTTGGATGTACACTGGACATACTAATTCTTTGTATGCAGCACATACTGCACTGCTGTCCGATATGACAGACGCAAGGTTTTACAAGCGAATTTGTACCTAAAAGTCGCAACGGACAGGCATGCTTCAGAGAACTGAAACTAGAATCCTGCGTTCAGAGTGGCTTACACCAGTTAATAAGACCCAGCTCTGAAAAATATCATGGATTTTCTGTCTAGGACAGTCACATGTGTGAGGTAACAAGCAGGCTAATAGGTTAGTTCCTGCCACTCCTCCGAGTGGTGAGCAACTTTACAATAAAGTGGACGTGGTGATGGGATTGGATCAAACTGACAGTGCAATAGAGCTCACAGAGAATCCATACACTGTTGTTGTTGTTATCGATCCAGCGGCGCATGAGCTTTCGCCCTTTGGCCCAATGCCATGTAGTGGAATTATCCATACACTGAAAGACTATTTCAACAGGGGTGAGTAGGTTTTTGAAGATATTCAACTCTATAATGAGTGGGAGACTTTTAATCAGCAATTGGCACTATTAGTATGTTGACTCTTCATTGGCTACTGAAGAAAAGGATGGAGAATGTGTGGGGATGTCCACAGTGCAGTGATGTTAATTCCTGATTGATTGTCCATTCACTCAAGTGTTTTAGTTTACGTCATTTTATAACAGTATACTTTTATGATCAGTGTGCTGATTTTATCAGTAAACTGGAAGGTATATAATAAACAAGCGCACAAGTAACCATTTCTTTTCTTCTTCTTCACTATTTTACCGCTGTGGGTTGTGTTAGTCAAGAACTGACACAACAGCACTTGGGGCATTCCCATATGCATTCCATACCCATCCTCAGCAGCAAGTACAGAGTTCCAATACCAATGGTGCCAGTCATAGTCTGGTTGTATGTCTCTCTTGCCTTTCCTCTGAGCATAGTGTGCCGGCTGAACACCCAGGTGCATCATTCCCTCCAGCCCATAATAATCTAGTTTCTATTCTGACTTCGTTACTTGTTCCCAAAGGGCTCTGACCACATCTGCCTTGTCACATATCAATTCACCAACCAGCAGTGCAGATTTAGCCAATCTGTCTGCCTGTTCATTCCCTACAACGCCAGCATAGCCTGAAGAAAAGATCTAAAGTATGCTCACTACCTGTGACCTTGCAAGTCAAGCTTGCCACTTTGCTCAAAGCATCCCTGTCTTCACCTTTTTCAGCTTGCTTTCAGAGCCTGTTATAATTATGACATGTGTATGTATCTTGTCCTCTAGCCACAGGCAAGCTGCAGTTACCGCCTCCACCACCATTCTCATGCTAGATGTTGTGGTATCCTATGCCAAGCTGTCTTGCACTAAAGATTTTCCATTGGCCTTGGCTATGAAATCCCAGGCAATTCTCTTCCCTCTCATTACAGAATTATCTGTTTAGATAATCAAATTATCAGGATGAGAACTGTCGTGAATCAACTGTTAAACTGCCACCTCAGTAGCTCCTGCTGGCCACTCTATGCACTCCCAGCCTAATTTGATCATGACCATACATAGAGTATACTTGTGTCTTCTGTTTGAGCCACCCATGATTTTCCCCCTTTCAGCATCTAACGCTTAACTGCATCCAAAGCTTCATTCAGAGGGTGCTCTTTATCTGCAGCTACTCTGAGGTATGGCTTATCCAGTTAAAATGGAAGCTAGACAGGGGTGCCGTTCGGAACAGAGGCAAATTTTTTTGCTTCTGCCGGACGGTGGCCGATGCATTTTTGCTCCATTTGTAGACTGGATATAGTTTCGTCGCCCAGCTTCTGAGTTGAATGCATGGCGTGACCCTGTGAGCTGCGGATTGCATTTGGAATGTTTTTTTTTTTCGACTGTGACCAACGTGGTGGTGTGAACTGTAGATTCAGAAAATGGCGCGATGCCTGTCGTTCAATGCTTGCGGGACCCGTATTAAAATTGATCACGCGGACAACTGCTGATCTGTTGACGACAAGTTCTGCTATCATCAATGATGAACTGCATTTCTAAAGTTGGACTGTTTGTGTTAGCACTTCGGATGGCTACCATATGCTTTAATGCGAGTGTATGCTAGATATGCTGAAACTAAGACTACCAGACTACCAGACCTTTAGCTAATCTGCAATAGTCGGCAATGCAAGAATGTATTGGTGAATCTATGGGGGTGACTGAAGTCAAGCTAATACAAGGAATTCCAGAGAAATTTGACTAAAAAGCTCAACAAAATGGGAAAGAGGAAAACGTGCACAAAACAATACAACGTAACGTTTCGGCCGGGCAGCCTTTTTCAAACATAAGTGAAATACACAGACGAGGAATGGAGAGTATGTAGATCTCTAAGGGGTGCCGTGAGCAACGTTTAAAAAAATGTGATGCAGAATGAATGAAATAAAATGAAATAAACGATGGCTTAAAAATA